AATGGATCTCATACACCCATAATTCAGTTTTTAAAATTACCAACATTTTGCCAACATTGGCTAACTTTCCTTTAATTGGGTATTTGTCTGATTGCAGCCTGCTGCCGATTTGCTCCAGTATAACAGGGCCCAGGTCCTGTACCACGCCCTTTTCAACCACCTGTACACGCCGGAGCACCGCCTCGTTCAGGTAATTGTGAGGTTTGTGGGTAACTGTGAATCTTAGTTTGCACATCTGAGTGGAAGGTGGCATTATGTGAATAAGAATAGACATTGTCTTCTCTTAGAAAGTGAGGGTGGTAACTAAGAGCCATTGCCAAGCTGGAAAGGGAGGCAGTGGTGACCAGTGAAAACACTAAGCAGCATCTGCATTCTTGGGAGCCGCAGGAAGCCAGTGTTTTGTCTCCATCCAGGTCAGTTATGTATCTGTCTTGGGGACAGATTTATGTTGGAAAAAAGTTCTCTTTTTATGAATTTAAGTGCCCTTCCTTCTTTGCTGCTTTATTATCAACACCCATTAAGATCTTGTGTGTTGGGTATGTTGGTGTCATTTATTCTTTCATCCAATGGACATTGAGTACCTACTGTGTGCCAGTAACCGTTGTAGGTTCCAAGAGCAAATGAATCAGACAAGGTCTCTGGCTTTAAGAAACCCTTTCGAGATATTTATGTAAATATATGGATGCTTATACGCGTGTAGGTCCACAGACAGAGCGATGCACTGATTGAAAGATTTGTATACAGCGCAGTGGGTGTGCAGCAGTAGGCAGCTAACCAGGTGTGGTGGTCTTGGGGGGTTTTAGGGGAATCCAGAGGAGGTGATATTTGTTTATGAAGGAAAAATAGGAGTTTCTTAGGGGGAACAATATTCTCAAGACAGTAAAAACAAGTTATATAAAATTAGAGGTAGAAATAACCAGGTTTCTTATTTTATGCCTATCTGCCCTTAACCCTTTACCTTGCTACCTTTTTTAAAGTATTATTTTAGTCATTGAGAATCCAGGTACTAAGAGTCAGAAGGGTTAGAACTCTTGAGATGGTGTTTAAGAATTTTTAAAAAACCCTACCAAAAAAAACCCCAGAAAACCAAAGGGCCCAGGAGAGCTAGAAGGGGTTGCTTAGACTGAAAGTTCAGGGAGGGTGGCTCAGCTGGACACGAATTCTCCTTAGGTTCTCTTTAGGAGCACTTTTACTGGACGTATGTGTACATATTGCTTGGGTTTAGTAATCTAGTGACAATACACTCAGACTCCTAAAATCTGGGTTTAAGTCCCAGCTTGGCCTTGCTTCCCATTTTACAGCTTAGCAAAGCACAGCAAGGAGAAGGTGTTAACTTAGAGACTGTAAGAGGGAGATAATGTAAAAAGAAAACAAAAGCTAGAAAATACAAAGTAATGCTCGCGTACATACTAGTGTGTTTTAGAATTCTGTGACGTGGACCCCAAGAACAGATGCATGAAGTTGCTTAGAAACCTCAGTGAGCTTTGCGAGTGCGAACGGATGACTAGTTCTTTCCCTCCTTTCTCCAGGCTGTGCTGCTGTGTCTGTTGGACTTATTTCCGGTCCTGGAGAAAGCCCTGCACTGGAAGGGAGACGCCGCTCGCCCCACCACACACTGTGACGAGGTGCTGCAGCTGATCCTGACCCACATGGAGCCGGAGCACCGCATCCTCTTACGCAGGACCTACGCCAGGAACCTGCCAGCTTTTGTGAGGAGGCAAGTGCCTGGGCTGCTGGCCCGGCCGACTCCGGCTTCAGCTCTTTGGTATCATCACGTTTTCTCTTTCGTTTGTAGGTTGGGGATCCTAAGTGTTCGGCACATGAAGAGGCTGGAGCGAGTCATCCTCGGTTATCTGGAAGTTTATGATGGACCAGAGGAGGAGGCGAGATTGAAGATACTGGAAACCCTGAAACTTCTCATGCAGTACGCTTGGCCAAGGTACAACAGCCAGCAGACGAGTGTGGTAAGCGGGGTGGAGCCCAGACTTTTGCTTCAGAACCTGCTCAGGTGTACAAGCAGTACCAGGTAGTAAGGCCATGCCGAGTACTGGAATACTCCCACTTTTACACACCTGTTGAAGTTTGAACAGAGAAAATAGCATTCGAAAGATAAAATACACCCATTGTTGTTTTGGGCGTCTATTTCTTTAAATTAATAATGCACATTAAACTTTAAAAGGCCATTTAGAAGTGCTATATGTAATAAAGACATGCCTGACTTTGCTCCTCCTCGTTTTTTAAATCCGGTTGAGACCAGAACACGCCATACCACGTGCCTGAACAGTGATCAGGAGAGTACTGATTCAGGATGTGATGGCTTAGAAAGCATTCCAGCTCTGTAGATGAGTGGGCTAAGAGAGAATGAATGGATGGATCAATGAAGCTGAATGAAATTAACGTGCCAGGCCTTTAAAGAGACCAAGATTCCAGGGAGAGACTGGCAAGCAGATGTTGGGGTTAGAAGGGTAGAAAATGAGTGTGACTCGCTGTGGAGGGTGGAGCTTGGGGGCTGAATACTGAACGATGACACGTGGGAGGCTAAACAGGAGGTTATAGGAAAGCACTTAATATTTTCCAGGGGATGCAAACTTACCCCCGGTTATATTTCTGTCCAGAAATACGGTTTACTTTGCATATTTTCATACTACAAGTTAAAATTACTTTCCAGCTTCCATTACGGCTTGTTTTCATTGGGGTAAAAAAAATTTACTATTTTAAAATAAGAGTTCATTTGGCATTAAATACATTCCAGATTTTGTGCAGCCATCACCACTATCCATTTTCAGGACTTATTTTTTTATATCCAGACTGTTAGAAGGGCTAGTGATAGATTGGGCTGAACTGTTGGTAAGCTAGGATCTGGAATTAAGTGACGGAAAATACAAATTGACACTTAAGTCCCAGAAGCCAAGCTAATTTCTCTCATCTTATTTTGGACTTCCTGGCCTGAGACTGCTTAAAAGTTAAAGGACTATGGGCTGGCTCCTGTTCTCTGGCCAAAAGTACAGGGGAAACCCCAGGCCTCCCCGTTCAGGAAGGGCTCCTTCCTTCCAGAGTGGAAGCAGGCTTCTGGAGGGGACGTGTTTTTCTTCGGCTGGCCAGTGTGTGTACAGGGCAGGATGCTGGAGGAAAATAGTTGGGCTTGAAGTTAAGAAATCTGGAGTCTGGTCTCTAGTTCTGCTTCCGGCTCTGTGGTCTAACACATTTGACTTCAGTTTCTTCACTTACAAAATGAAATGAGGACTTTATATACTAGAGGGTCTTTGAAGTCTCCAGTTTAACACCCAGGTTTAGAGTATGAACATGGTTTTTCCTCTGGATTCCAGGGTTTCCTGTAGACTCGTGGTCTTACTGAAGGCTCTCCTGAAACTGGTGTGTGATGTGGCAAGGGATCGCAGCCTTACACCTGAGCCTGTGAAGAGGGCCTTGTTAGAGGCGGCCACGGACTGCCTGGTTCTCCTGGACCACTGCTCTCAGGGACAAGTGAAGGTAAGGGGCGGTCTGCAACTTGCATCCAGTGAGGCCTCGTTACCCTCGAGTAATTCTCACAGTTGATTATAACTCATTACTCAGGGGCCTGCCCACGCCTGTAAATGAATGTGGAGGCATCAGGGCTGCACCTCTGGAACCCTCTAGCCTTCAAGAGAGTTCGGACAAAGGTATTTAGAAGTGTTCAGTCCGAAAGGCAGGAGGATTAGAAAGTGTCTGTGGGGCTAGGACAAAGAATGGGCAAAAGTTTGTAAAATTTAAGTTCTGTTCCTGTCGGGGGGGAAAAAAAAAGGTGAACTAATGGGCTATTAGCCACCAAGAAATAATAATGTATGTTCAGTATTTCAGATCCCAGAAATGTTCCCCGCTGTTCAGGGGCAACTATGCTTTTCCATATTCTTGTTTATCCCTGTGGGAATTCTCTTTGGTTTCATATTGCACAAAAGTTAACTTCTCAAAGCCATAGCATGTAATAGCTATGTGCATATTTATATATTTAATAAACTGTTGCCTCATTTGTATCCCATTTAGAAATCAATTGATATGATGATGTAAGGCAACATGAAAAATTCATACCCTGAAAACATTTAGAAGTAGTCTAGTTTGTTGTTTTATTAGCCTATTCAGATTAAACTTCACCTTGGCTCTTTGATTGCAGGCAGTTGTCAAGCCCTAGATCCAGTCTAATTCGCCTTGGCTGGTACCTAAGCTGCTGCTTCATGAGCCAGCAGGTCATTTCCAAGTGTGCCGACAGTGTTTACAGCTACACTGTTCTGTGAACTGTCCCTAGTGTCACCCGTCTGAGCATGGTGCCAAGAAAGAAGAGCACAGGTGACAGAGAAAGAAGTAACCAACCAAAGCCTGTTCGGTTTCACGTTTCAGGGTCTCCTGGCCACGAGTCTCCGAAGCTGCGAGGACAGCCAGGTGGTGAGCTGTATCCGGAAGGTGCAGCAGGTTTCCGGGGGCGCCCCCCACGGCGGGACTTGAGATTTGTATGATTTTCCTAAAGAGGACAGGATTTTCTCTTTGTATAAATGCAATTATTTAAAGAAAAAGGTATTTTTATACTAGGCATTATAATTTAGACCATCCTTTTCTTTCCTTTTAGTCCAATAGACATATGGAAAGAACACAAAAAACTGAAGTCTGGACATTTCTTTCTTTTTTAAAGATTTTATTTATTTATTTTTAGAGAGAGGGGGAGGGAGAGAGAGAAGAGGGAACAAGGATGTATGAGAGATACATCAATCCATTGCCTCTTGCACGCCCTCAACTGGTGACCTTTGGGTTTACAGGGTGGCACTTAATCCACTGAGCCACACCAGTGAGAGCAGAAATCTGGACATTTCTGAATTAAAGTTGGGGATGGTAACCAAGGGTGTGCATTTAAAATTTAGAAATATTTACAGCCACGAACTCATCTGTTAAGCTTCTTGGGCTCAGTGTTACTTCAACACATGCCAAAGCTATAAAAATACTCTGTTTACAATTTTTCCACCAGCCCCCCCCCCCAGAAGTGGTATAAATATCAAAAACACAAATATTGTGTTGAATAACATAAGGGGTAAAAGCTGGAGGTGTGATGTGATGAGGATAAAGTTCAACATGTTCAGTCCTGTTATAAATGTCTGAATGGAAATCACGTGGCCTTGGCCTTGGCCATGGCCACGGGCTCTGTCTCCTGCTCGTACTCTATTTCCACATATGCTCGTTTCCTCCGCAAAGGGCCTTTCAAGGGTGTTTTGCCTTTGTGTTTGGCATTAAAGGCCTTTTCTTCTTCCTCACTGGAGGACTTCTCATCCTGCTCTTCATCACTGCTGGCATCCAGTTTATCCATTTCCTAACACCGGGAGGGAAAAAATTAAGAGAAGATGCTGGATTTAGGCCCCAAATTCCACTGTCATCTCAACTTAGAACAAACTAGAGCGTTGAGCCCTGTGTGTTCGGAAAGCCTTTCTCTTACCCATAAATCTCACCTCAAAATCACTTATGTCACTCTCATCCACCTCATCATCTTCCACAAATTCTCTCTTTCCCACATCCTAAAAACAAAACATAACCGTGAGGTTCAAAATACATCAGGAAAACTTAACTTAGACCCCTAGTTTATTTTGGGGGGAAACACATGCATAAAATAACAATCAGAATATATTTAACTAGGCACCTAAAATGTACCTATTTCCAAGTTCAGTGTTTCTGAAATCAGTATGTAAAATTTACAAATCTTTATATATATTTAACTAAAATGATTAATTTCAAATAATCAAAAATAGTTTTAGGAAAAGTATGCTTCTGTACCTATGGAGGTATACTGTGTGACTAAACAGCTAGTTGCTAAGTCTGCCCTTTTCCTAAAAATACTATCACTGAAGTACCTCTCCTATGTTAATAGTAAGATTAAATCCTTGTAAAACTTTCTGTAGGTTCCTTAGAGGGATATTCTATTCTGTCAGTTGACAAAGATTCTTCATTTGCCATCTGGCAGGAAAGTGTCAGTGTGCTCATCAATACAGAGAACCCAGAGACCCCCACAGCCACCCACGGACCCGGGTTAGTCTCATGACAGAAAATGGGACTGATGAGTACTCTCGGTTAGGGGATTAAAAAAAGCATCCTGTCTCTTAATTACATTAAAATAAATGTAGTCCTACAGATTACCGCTGAACAAAAGGAAAGTACAAACAAGGCTTATTTACTTCCTCATCCTCTTCATCGTCCTTTTCCTCCGCATCTGAAGAGTCGCTCTCCGCCTCCTGCTGTTCCAGGGCCTTGTCGAAAGCATGGATGGGGAAGTTGTAGATGTCGCCGTACTGCAGAACATGAACGGATCGGCTTTAACTGTATCTAAAGTCCACTGACCGACAAGCTGGTCACTTTGTTCCTCAGTGAAATGCGAACACTCAATTCGAGGAGTCATATTTCTATATTGTTTTTTAGGCTAGTAGACCTGGCAGTGTCTTTAAAAAGCCCGTTTTAACATCAAATCACCAAACTGGTAAATTCAATGAAGGATGGAAGCAGATCACTGAAAACTCAGTAGTCTACAAAGCCTATGGATTAGAACAAGTGTGATTCTCATGATAAAGGGGGAAATAGCAAGGGAAGAGTTTTTATTCATGTTGTTTCTATGACATTACTTTAAAAAGAGGACAGAAGTTAACTTAGAAGAACCCTGAAAGGGTAACGACAGGAGGCTTTTCTACAGAGACCCGGGACTGTGTGTCTGGGAGCAGGAGCTGGGAATCGCGGCGACAGGGAAGGGGCCCTCGTACTACACAAAGTACCAGGGACAACGGAAGCATTTATGTGCCTGCATCAGTGAACTTCGGTGAGGAAGCCAGGATCTGTGTTAGTCCAGGAGTAAAATCAAGGTGAACATCTTCTAGCATGTTCAGAAGTAAAACCCATTTCCCACGTTTCCTAATTCCACCTAAAAAACAAAATTTGTACCCTAAGTTCCAGCTTACTCACCGTATCTTGTTTAAGTCTCTCCAGCAGTTCCTTCTCAATGGCATTGTCCAGCTGAGCAGCTATTAATGCCTTTTCCTGTAAGAGAAGGAGCAAATCCCATTTACTTCTGTAATAGTCATTTTTCAGCCTGTAGAAGAAATTATGAAGCTTTCATCACAAAGAAGATGTAATCACTTCTCCCACTTGCTATTAATTGGATTCCTTAAAAAAAAGATTTTATTTTTAGAAAGAGGCGGGAGGGACAGAGAAGGAGAAACACTAACTGGCTGCCTCTAGCACGCCTCCAGCGGGGGACTGGCCCACAACCCAGGCGTGTGCACTGACCGGGAATCTGACCTGCGACCTGGTTCACAGGGCGCCCGACCCACTGAGTCACACCGGTCAGGGCATCATGGGGGCTTCTGTCTCTCCAACCAGACATATTTCTTCTCCTTTACCTCTCAAATCTTGGGAACCTTTCAATTATAAAAATTTCTAGAGTTTTTATAAGTAATACTCTCAAATTCTAACAAAGTTTTTGATAGATATGAAAAGCAGGTAGGTCTACATACATTTAAGTGTCTTAGAAAATTAGCAGCCGGAAGCAGACTTCAAGGAAGGGGAACAGAGAGCCTCACTCACGGTTTCTAAAACCATGTTAGATCCCACATGATAAAAAAAACATTTTAAGAACTCTCTTCTTCAATGATCCCTCATAGGAAATAATACGTGGCATCAACCTGTACCACCCAATGAAAACAAAAATCTAACTTCAATCTAACCTTTCTAGTCTAAGACTGTATTAATTTGACAGTAAGTCACAGAGGATTTCAAAGCGCTACATACGGAAGCTGTGTCAGACTGACCCATCACAATGCAGGAAGGCTGGGCGCACGGGTCAGCTCAGTCTACTGTGACGTCCTACATCACCCTCTACAGAGGTGCTTACACCTCAAGAGTGACTCACTGAGATGATGTAGGGAGAATACTTTCAGAACACGTTACTTTTTAGGTGTACTGACAGTGGTACGTTGAACTCTGTCCATAAAGCAAATAGTCATGTGTCAAGTACAGTGAACAAGACATTCCGAGGGGAAAATACTGCTCAAAGAGTTTGAAAGCGGTGGTCTCACTCCTTTATTCTGATTGGGTAAGTGCATTTGTAGATGAATTGTTTGCAGTAAGACAGGGAGCTGATTGTTTAATGGTTTGGTACCTAAAAACAGTTGTAGAGCCCTGGCCAGGTAGCACTGTCCTGATACACCAAGGTTACAGGTTCAATCCTTGGTCAGGGCACATACATGAATCAACCAACGAATGCATAAAGTGGAAGAACAAATTGATGTTTCTCTCATAAGTTGTAGAACTTAAAGATGGCTGTCAGTAATATGTAATGTAGCAGGAGTTTTAAAAAGTAAATACACTACTAAAATAAATTAAAAAAATAAATATACTCATCTGTTTTTACGAGAAAGGGAATATTTTTACCAGTTATTTGAAAAGAAAAAAAATAACTGTGAATGGAACATCTTAAAAAGAAAAGGACTGCATCTATATGTGACAGTGCTTAAAATGTCTTCTCTAAAAATTTCAATCACACATGAAAAAAATTTGAAGCTACAACCCTGGCTGGTGTGGCTCAGAGGACTGAATGCCCACCTGCAAACCAAAATTCCCAGTCGGGGCACGTGCCTGGGCTGCAGGCCAGGTCCCCAGTAAAGGACGCGTGAGAGGCAACCACACACTGATGTTTGTTTCTTCCTCCCTTCCCCTCTCCCTAAAAATAAATAAATCTTTACAAAAATTGAAGATATAATTTTCCGAAGTAAAATTACAAGTACCAAGTACCTGTAATTTGCCATGTATAATGTGCACCCATATTTTGGAAGATACACACCTAAATGTGTATCTTCCAAATACACATTTTTCCACAGGGCTTTAAAATTATTTGGCAGAAATAGAAAATTTTAACTTTTTAACCTGTTTAACAACTGGTGGTGGAGAATGAACAATAAAGAGCAAGCACTTAATGCAAACAATCCGCACTGCACTTCTCTAAGTACCACTGACATATCTGTGAAGGGCTTACGAGAGCCCTTAAAGACAAAGTTATACTCAGCCAGGAACTGGACTCATCTGTTCTTACAAGAGGAGTATTTTACCAGTAATTTGAAAAGAAAGAAATTGTAGATAGCACAAACAATTACTTGTACCTGTTGTACATAACATCTGTATGTGATATACTGGGGAGCATATGTTCCAAATCTTATTGATGGGTAAGTGATCAAAAACTTTGCAGACCAGTGATAAAATAGATTTGAGATACAGAACTCTTGTGATTTATGGAGGCAAATGCATCACGATTACCATATTTTGCTGTGTATAATGGACACTTTTTTGCCCAAATCTTTGAGTGAAAAATAAGTATGCACATTATATACAAGGGTACATACCATGTGTGTAGTAATCCCATGTATAGTGCGCACAAAAATATGGGTGCACATTATACATGGCAAATTACAGCATTCAAGTTTTTCTTGATGGTATCACAAATGATCAGGTAAGTATGTCTACTGCTAGAAGGGAGGTAAGCCGACCAAGTACCTAGAATGAATGAATATTTGCATTTGCTGGGAAAAGCTAATTCCCGAGTCTTGAAAAAAGCATGAGAAAATTCAGCCTGAGTGAAGTACCAGTAGGCGGAGAGGCAGGCTGCTCTCTGCAACTAAGGCTGGAGCTTCTGGACGAGATTTTCCACGGATAGCAGACCATTAACATCGCTATTGACTACTCTGGTCATAAAGTTGCTTAGTTTACTTCAAAGAAACAAATAATTCCAATCAATTCCTTACTAACAACTTCAAAAAAAAACAGACCCCCCCACCTCAATTTTGTGGCCTAAGATGACCTGAACTAATATGAGTCTACTTAAAAAGATTTAAAAAATTCAATCTAGTGTGAATGAACATTCTTATATTTCACTGCAAAACTAATAGCTTACTTGATTAGAATGCTCAAACCCTGCTGAGGGTAAGAGGTAAGATGAGCAACATACCAAAATTCTGATTTCTGAAACATCTGGCCTCAAGAATTCCAGACAAGGCATTGTGGATGTCTATCTGAGGTATTCTACTTGTTCTGTTACATACACCCTCGAAGCACTCCCATTTTACCTGCCCTGAAAGTCATGATCCTAAAATACGGAACATCAGCTGTCTCATCAACTACTATCGCACATTAGTGAGCCACTCTCCAGGGCCTGAACAGTTCGTGGGCAGTGGTGACTACACCTTTTTCGTGAGGCCCCCCTCCACAGCCCTACCCTCAGTGAAAATAAAGACGTACGAATACCAGAGCAGTAAGTTACCTCTCTTCTTTTTTCCCTCCGCTCCACTTTTTTACTCAAAGGAACAAGCTTCTTCCTAGGGGAAACAAAGCGTATCATCAGAAAACCCATCTACATGTTCTAAAAAAAAAAGAGAAGGAAAAAAGGACTGGAATTCATTTGTAGGGTTCAGCTCAGGTCAGCAAATTTTCTAGATAAATGTAATGCTATAAAAAAATCGGACATTTTTACGTATATTTGAATGTGGCTGATTTTGTTTGCTACAGGCATTCTGAGACTTCTGAGGACGTTCTCTATGCTAACAACGCTTCACTGAATTAAAAAAAGGGAATTTTCTGTAGAATCCTGTGCAAGTCACAGCTCAATTAAGTGGGGATTTCATATTCCTTTTAAAAACTAGTTTTCACTGAACTCAGAGTAAAGTCCTTCCTTACATTCTTGTTATTCACATTTTTTAGGTCATTTTTAAATCCCTAATTAATTTCAAGATTCCCTCAGGAGGTTATAAATAGTATTTTCTGAAGCTGACTTTCAGACAGGGAGGAAATACTTGAGTTGTTCTGGACTGTTTTTAAAACCTGCAAAGCCAAAGGGCCCACCTTTAATCTGAGGTACAGTCTCTTCTTAGCATATCACAAAAGGGTACCCGGAGTTGAATTTTATAGGAGGCATTTCTAGGGGTGTCATCACCTCTCAGTTTCATAACACAGTTCATGAGAAAACAGGTTTAGAAATAAGTAAAGGACCTGAACACTTACTGTCGCTTTAGTGTGAGTTTTCGAATTCTAATTAGGTACTGGGTGATCTTGGTGAACCTCTGCTTACACTTGTGTCGGATGAAACGGGGCCAGTAAATCAGGTTTTCATCTATCTGCTCCAGTGCCTTCTCATAGTTTTTATGAAGACGAACCTAAAACAGAACAAGGAAAGCGTAAAGAGCAAGAGTACAAGATTAGGTCTTTCCTGGTTACAACACTCACAGGAACTATGAGGACGGCTTCAAAGGTTTAATCTAGATACGGTCAAGGAAGAAAGGGAAACTTGGCATTTTTGCTCTAGACCAATGGGTATTGTAATTTTATGTTCCAAGTCTTACCCGTTCCCAGAGACGTCTAGGAAAGGCTGCTCTCTCTATAACCTTCATGTACAAGTAGCACTGTCCTGCAGGATAAAGGAAATGCCTTTATATTGTTTAGAGGGACCCAAGACAATGCATGCTTTGAGAGCTGCTGAGTAGCTCCCACGGCATCTGAAACTGGGGAGTTACCTTTCTCTTCTTTGATAGTGGCATACTGACTGTTTGCCAGGGGACAAGATGACCGGTTACACAGTCCAGTCAGGCTGTATTCATTTCTGCAAAAGCCCTGTGTCTTCGTTCTAGAATGGGAGGAATGGCAAGCATTTTCAGATGGGTTACCAAACGGGCAACTGAAGGAATCTTTGTCCAAGTTGCGAACCTAGACTCACCTTATTTTGAAGGAACAAAATTGCCTGTTTCCCAGTGTGTCCCAGATAACCTGCAGGACAAAGTATAAACCCATTTCAATTGCGCAGACCCAAGAGATGGCATATGAACCCCAGAAAATGTCCTGGGGCATTCCCCGCTTTACTGAGGAAAGGGGTCTTTAACAAGTGAGAGGAAAAAGTGCTTTGTAAAACGGTCTGACTTTTCATGATACAAATGACACTCTTATATAAAAAGTAAATACAAATTAGCAATAGCCCCAACCTCATTACCAAGAAATATAATTTCATTAATATTTGTAAATATTTTCAGGCTTTTCTATATGTATGTACACATTAAGAACTAGTATGCCTACATCTATGTTTTCAACAAAATTAGATCATATTATGTACTTTGTAACCTTCCCTTTCTACCTAAAATGTTCACTATCCGTGGTAAAAAGATGCACAGTACTGGGCTTTTGGATATATGCGCCATAATTCTATCTCATTGAGGGCAAGGGAAATCGTCTGCGGTATCCTGCACTAACGTGTTCTTTACTCATTCATCTTCATTGCGCACTTAATGAAGGGAAGGCACTGACACTCAGAAGGCACTCAAGTACTTGTCAGTGCAGAAGCCAGAGTCCTCAGAGTGTTACCCATCTAGATGGAGAGAAAGACACACAGAGCATCACAAAGCAGCTGTCTAAGTACAACGAGGTGTGTGCGAGCATGACAGGCTCTGAATGCGCTGCTTGGAGGAACTGGGAAAGGCTTGAAAAAGTTAAAGGGAAAGCATAAATGTAAAAGAATGGAACGACATTTTTGCAATTTTATAGGATGTGTCTGGCAGGGGATGTTAGGAAAGAGGTCAGAGGAAATGAAACTGGAAAAGGAACTCCATGTGGCTGCTGGATTTATATATCACCTCTGATTGATGACTCCTATATTGTTATTTTCTGGTCACACTTCTCACCTGAGCACCAGACTTGTACATACACCCAGCAGCCTACCGGGCACCTCCACTCGGCTGTCTAAAGGCATCACACACATCAACATGTCCAAACGGAGCTCTCAACTCCACACCTCTCAAAAGAGCACCGTGCTCCTTCTCCAGTCCCCCCACCTCCAGAATACAACCACCACTGAACTAGCTGTTCAACTCCCCAAACCCTCCTTCTGTCCCTTTTCTATATTTATCAAGTCAATTAAAACTGATAAATCATCTCATCTTTATCCATTTCCTTTCACATCCACCATGACCATCTTAGTTGAAGCTACTTTCATTGTATTCTAGTCTCCTTGCTCTTGCTCTCCTCCAAAAACCTTTCACACAACAGAACTTTTCACACACAGAAATCATGTCATTTCCCACTGAAAGCCCTAAACCCTTACCGGACTTCACATGACCTCGGTGTCCTAGAGTATATTCCTCCTCTCTAACCTCCAGATCTTTGTACCTTACTGTTCCCACTGCCTGGACTGACTGCTTTCCCCTTCTCTCCTCGGTGGCAGTTCATTCCGATCTTTTAGATCTCAGCTCAACTATCTTCCACTCAGAGAAACCTTTCCTGATCAGGCCTCTCTGACTCCATCACCTCTAGTCTGTTTTTCCAGTATTGTTACACAGTGCAACTGTTTCTATCTGTTCACTTGCTCACTATCTGTCTCTCCCACTAGTGTTCAGGAAAGCAGAGATCTTTTGTCTGGCTTATCAAATCTCTAGTATCTACAATTCCCAGTACGCAGTAAGCACTTAAATGCTTCTCCTACAGATTACTAATGAAGGGATGCTTAGTGGAAGCATTTGGAAGAATGCTTCCAAAATCATGACTTGGGCACTTAGTGGGACACATTTAAGAAAAACCGAAACACGGGAAGAGCTGATTAGAAGTCAAGTACACGTGAATGAAAAAGATCCTTAAACTTGTCTAAGCTCGGCCGTATCGCCCTCCCTCCCCCAGGCTCCCGCCCAGCTCTAACTCCTCCAAGACAATTCGCAGAATCCGTCAGGGCTTGTCACCAGGGACTAGATAAAATGACCCTCTAGACCGACGAGGTGGGTTTCAGGCTCCTTAATCCCGGTGGGGCAGCGGGCTGGAGGCCCAGGGAAGGCACGTGACAGCCCACGCTCGAAAGCCGGGGCTGTGGAAACCTCCCTCCCGGAGCCACGTGAGGCAAACGGGCCGGCTGAGTGTGCCGCTCTGAGTCGCCCGAGAAGGTAAGACAACCTGCGTAAGCCTGGGCGACACACCAACGGGGAAGACTCACATCATCGCACTGCATGCTGTCGGCAACTCAGCGTGGGAACGTAGCTCCCGGAAGCAGCCATGCAGCTTCCGGGGAATCACTTCCGGAACGCTTAGTCTCACCTACCGCGAGAGCTCCGAGCTCTCAGACTTGCACGCAGCGCCGCCTGGTGGTCTAATCCGCGCTAGTCCTGAACTCCGCACTGCAGCAGGACCCACCCCGCACGCACCCGGGCTCTCCCCCTCGCGTAGCGCGGGTCCCGCCCTTGGCTCACCTGGTAACCCCAGGTGCGAGTGAGGGGAACGAACTAGTGCAACGCCGCGCAGCCGTCGGCTGTCTCTTCGGCACGGCGCGAAGAGTCGGCTGACTCTCCTTTGCCCAGCGCGCAGTCTATGACCTCGGGTAGCAGCCCACCAGGCTTTCAGTCTGCTGAACACTGCGCTTGGCAGAGGAGCGGGCCGCCGTGGTGCCCGCGGTCAGAGCTGCGTTGTTTTACCCCTTCGTCCAATACGAGGATCTCAAACCCCATCTTGTTAAACTAGAGACTTTCGATCGCGCGCGCACCCCTCCCTCCCCCACCCACCCTGCAGACTCCTGTTTGGGGCGGCTTTGGGTCCTGACTTTAGCAATTCATGGGTCAGATAATATTTAAAATATATCTTTTGAAGGAATAACTTTTTCAGCTTTTTACTTTGGCAGGAGAAAAGAAAACCCTTTACGAACTCATACCGTTTTTCAAAAGAAAGGCCATTTAATTCCAAGAGTAAGAAAGGCGCAATCTTAGAATAAGAATGAGCCCTTTGCAAACTACATAAAATAAGTCATTGTATTGTATAAATAATGTAATTTTGATGCATGCAGGAGAAAACTGAATCAGAACCACCCTAATTAAAGCATTGTTTTAGCACTGGTTTTTGGAGCCAAACATATTTAAAAAAACAACAACCAACTGCTATTTACTAAATATCTTTGGGCGAGTCACTTAACCTTTATCAAACTTTTTCATTTGAACAATGGGAGTATGTGAGGACTAGCGGTATGCTAAATGCATAGTTTACATTGATTCATAAAAAATGGTGATTGTTCTCACTAGCCCAGGGCCCTAAACAAAGCTGGTTTCGAGACCTAAAGTCATGAACACACAAGCCTTTCTATGTTAGAAAAACCAAATTTGGGGAACAGTTTCAAGGAGGGGAAGTGGTGTATGGTTTCAGTCTGGTTTGGGATGATACCTCTTTCCCGGCTCACCACCAACAGGTGAGTCCTGTGAGTAATCTTTCTTTTTTTATTTTTAATTGAGGCATAACTGACATATAGCAGGGGTGTCCAACCCGCTGCGTGGCCCAGGATGGCCATGAATGTGGCCCAACACAGATTCATAAATTTACTTAAAACATTATGAGGTTTTTCTGTGATTATATGTCGCAATGTATTTGATGTGTGGCCCAGAGACAACTTTATATAAGATTCAGGTATACAGCATGAGTCGACGACATTTGCATTATTACAAAAGGTTTATCGCAATAAGTCTAGCCAACATCCATTGCCATAGATATTTATAATTTTCTTATGATGAGAACTTTTAAGATTTACTCCCTTAGCAGCTTTGAAATATGCAATACAATATTAACTGTAGTCCCCAGGCTGGATATTATATTTCCATGATTTATTTTTTCTATAATTAGAAATTTGTACCTTTCGACCCCTTCACCCATTTTGTGCTTGCCCCCTCCTCCGAAATCTCTTCTCTATATCTTGGGTCATTGTTTTTTGTTGTTGTTGTTTGTTTTTTAGGTTGCACACGTAACTGATATCATATTTGTCTCTCTCTGTCTTAGGCTGTGACTTACTTCACTTAGCATAATGCCCCAAGCTCCATCCACGTTGTTACAGATGGCAAGATGTCATTACTTTTTTTATGGCTGAGTGATATTCCATTTGCTTTATTCATTCATTCAAAGTAGCCTGGGGGCTAAGAAGCATTTTCGCAATTTAGAACAATTTTAGTCCTTTCTAGTTTAAGTGGGGAAGACTTTTACCACATACAATTTAAAAACCTTTGTGATCTCTCTATGTGGAATCTAAGTTCACTCCATTGGACAAAAACATATTTTTTTTTCCTGAAAAACATCTCTTCAGTCTAGATTATGGCTACTCTGGGTATATCATACTGCTTGCTATGGAAAAACATTTTTATGATCTCTCCTGGCTCCTTCCTCTGGCTGAAAGGATTTACTAGGTCACATCTTAACTCTCTTAAAGAGTGGTCTTACCTAAAGGTCATCCAGCCTCATCTTGAGGATCTTTTTCTGGTTGGGGAAACTGGAGGTGAGAACCAGTTTTATTTTCCAGTCTGGTAAATTTTGATTCCTTTATATTCCCCCTAATTCCTGCCTATAAAATGGTCTTGTTTCCTCCTTTTAACTGATTTCTTTCTCACAGTACCTTTTAATATGAGCTTAAAGATGCAAACTGACACCGTTGGCATTCTGCCTAGAAATTATTTTATGCAGATACACAAGTTCATGAGTTATGTTTTATATCCTCCAAATTACCATAGGTGACACTTTTATGAAATATTTTACTGCTACATAAAATGTGTCACCTTTTTTTCTAGTTTGCTGTGGTGACTCTCATTGCTTTTGCAGTCTTTGCTTACCACCTGGTCCCAAGCCAATGTCATGTGTTTTAGTTTTTTTTTATGGCAGCAGCCTAGTTCCAGATATTAATTTCTGCATCAGTTAGTTATTGCTGTATAACACACCTCTATGAAACATTGGTTAAAAAGCAAGCAATTATAATTGTTCACGTCTCTACAAGTCAGATGGGGAGTTCCGCTGACCCCGGCTGGACTAGGCTGATCTGACCTGGGCTTGCGCACCTGTCTACCGTCGGCTGGTGGATTGGCTTGTGGCTGACTTTTCTAGAGTTGCTTGACATATTTTACAGCTGAGTGGCTATTAGCTGGAGCAATAGGAGTGTCTGTTCAGATGTTTAGCTCGCTACCGTCTTGGGACTTCGCTGTCATTACCGGGCAGGATTCCAATAAAAGTTGTGGAAGCATACAAGGCCTCTGGAGACGCAGGCTCAGGACTTGCACCCTGTCCCTCTGGCCACAGTCTGTGGCCAGAGCAAGTCACAAAGCCAGCCTGGATTCAGGGGTAGGCAAATAAACTCTACTTCTTAATGGGAGCTTCAGAGACACATTGCCAAGGGAGTGGAGACAGAGGCGGATGGAAAATTAGCACCATTGCTGTAATCAATGGATATAATTCGAGCAACCGTGTGTTTTTAACTAAGTCCCTTTGTTGAATCATAGATGATCAGTTGGGGAGCACTTAGGAATTTGCAGCCCTATCTGACCTTGTGCATTAAGGATTTTTGCAACATTCACAGTAATGAGCCATCCAACTTCTGATAAAAAAAATCTAGTGTCAAAGAAACTATTATTCTTGCTTTCTGTTTTCCCACGTGTAATCAGCCAAATATACACCTACTGATGGAGTGATTCCCTGTGAGAGAAACTCAGAAGGTGTCAAATGCCTTCTAAAGTGTTGTACAATTTGCATCCCCACCAGCAGTGAATGAGAGCCTCTGTCATTCCACATCCGCATCAACACTTGGGGTTGTCTTGTTACGCATTTTGGCCCCTCTAGTAGGGGTCTGGTGGCGTCTCAGGGTTGTTTTATGTTTTTTTTTCAAGCTTATTTTAATTTGCATCTTTTCATGTATTTATTTGCCATCTTTGTATCTTGTTTGGTGAAGTGTCTGTTCAGGTCTCTTGCTCGTTTTTTTAAATTGGGTTGTTTGCTTTCTTATTGTTGAGTTTTAAGAGTTCTTTGTGTATTTTGGATCATAGGCCTTTATCAGATGTTTCTTTTGCAAGTATTTTGTCCCTGTCTGTGGCTTGTGCTCTCATTCTCTTGACTGTTATTATTCTTTTAATGTCTGGGGATCAGTAGTGATGCCCCCTCTTTTATTTCTGATGTTAGTAGTTTGTGTCTTCTGACCTTTTTTATTGGTTAGCCTAGGTAAGCATTTATCAATTAATTTTATTCAAAGAACCAGCTTTTGGTTTCATTAATTTTCTATAATTGCCTGCTTTCAATTTTATTGATTGCCCCTCTAAGTTTTATTATTTCTTCTCTTTTGTTTGCTTTCGATTTAATTTGGTCCTTTTTCTCTAGTTTCCTGCAGTGGAAGCGTAGATTAATGATTTTAGATCCGTCCTCCTTTCTAACATTCAATGCTATAATTTTTCCTCTAAGCATTGTTTTACTGCATCCCACAAATCTTGACAGGTTGTATTTTCATTTTTATTTCATTCAAAATATTTTTTATTTCTTTTGAGAATTCCTCTCTGACCTATGTGTTATTTAGACTGTGTTCTTTAATCTCCAAATATTTTGGAATAGTTCTGTTATTGATTTAATTAGTTTAATTTCATTGTGGCCTGAGCATATTTTGTATGATGTCTATTCTTTTAAATTTGTATTATGGTCTAGTATACCTGCCTTTGGATGTGCATATGCATGTATGTTTATTAGGCAAACACCCAGGAGTGGCACTTGTGGGTGATAAAGCATCTGTTCGGGACTAGGAGGTTCTGATCCACAGCTTCCCAAAGTGGCTGTAGCAATTACACTCCCACCAACAGCAGGAGTTTGCATTGTAAGTTTTAAAGTTTGTAGCCATTTCGATGGGTACTTAGTAGTATGTTGTTGTCTTCTTAATTTGCATTTCCCTGGTGACTAAAGAAATTAAACATCCTTTCACATACTCCTTGGCTCTTCAGATTTCTTCTCCGTGAAAGGCTGTGTAAGTCTTTGACCCCTTCCTTCCTGCTTTTTCTTGGATTCTTCTGTTATTGCATTGTAGGACTTCTTGAGATAATCTGGATACGAATTCTTTGTTAGATAAATCTATTGCAAGTATCTTCTGTTACTTGGTGGACTGCTTTTCATTCTCTTAATCACACTTTTGAGGAACAGAATGTACTTTTAATAATATCCAATTTATCCATGTTTTCCTTTGTATGTGGGATTTTCTAGAAGTTGTTACCATTATCATCAGCCCATTTTTACAGAGAGGATAGTTGAGGTCCTGGGCAGTGGACCTCTGCAGGCTCGGGCCAGAGCGAGGCAGGCCTAGGCAGCAGTCACTCTCAGTTCTGCAGGTGCGCCCAGCACGTGCGTGAGTCCAGGGCCTCCTCACATGTTGAGCGGGAGACACTCCACTCGCCCGGTCTCGCCCCAGCCCTCCTAGGGCCTTGAAGGCCTTGAAGGCCTTGAATTATTTCCCTAGCTTTATCACCTCCTGTCTCGACTAGTGCAAAATAATTTTAATTGGGTCTCCTGCAATGGAACTCAGTTTGAAGTCAGTTAGTTTAACTTCGCCAGTAAATAAAAACCAAAGATCATCAAGCTCAGTCTACCAAACACTGGTAGCAGGCTAAGGCACCCAGGCCTCTGCTTGGCTTAGGAGTTTCTCACTTCTCAGTAGGTGACTTGATGTGCCCAGTCTGACTTGAGTTTAAGAAACAGAAAGTGCCCTGGGACTGGCTTTAGAATAAGGTCTCAGGAGCCTCCCAGGATCGTTCAAGGAGGTTTATGCTGAGCGGCAGGCCAGGGAGTCCCTGGAACCAAGGTCCCACTTGCTTTTAAATAAGTGGCATCAGTGAAAACCCGGACCCAGGATCGCTGGGCCTGGATGTGCCGACAGTTATCCTGCCTTTCCCAAATCTCCTTTCCGAGTCTTCGTCTGAGCTCTGGGGGTTGCAAACTGAAAGTGGAAAACCGGGGCTGCAGTGGGCAGAGCGGGCCTCCTTCCCCGTGAAGAGGTGAGTGTGTGTGCCCACTGGGTCGTGCTGGAGTGCTGGCTTGGTGGGGACAGGGTCTTGGTGCCGAGAAGCAGAGACACTTTCCTGGTGCTCGTGGAAGATGGGACACTGCCCACAGGACTCACAGCAAAGGGAAACCTTGTGCCCAGACGGATTGTGTGTAAGAGAAAGGCGGAGTTGTGTGCTGAAAAACAAACCAAGTCTGTTCTTGGGAAGCCTGGGGCAGTGCTTTCCAGAGACCCTGCCCGAGGCTTAAATGTATCTGGCTGCTGAAAAAGCGCGGGTGAGAGGCAGGTAATGAGCAGGAGCCGCCGCTGGAGGCCAGGGAGGCCCAGTCCCGACTCCGGGTAACGAAGGTTTTCTGGTACCTCCGGTGTGCACGCTCGATCTCTCCAGCCCCACTGTTGTGCGCCGTGAATTGCGTCCCGCTTCCCCGCACATCTTCACTGAGAATCACTTGTTGCTAGAACTGTGTGAAGGAGTGATTCTGACCGTCCCGCCCTGCAGAGCACCGTGCATTTAATGGAGAAAATGCGCGGCGAGAGCCCGGGGAACAGCGGGCTTTGGTTATCTGTATGCGAGCCATGTCCCGGGTGTTTTGTTTGCAGTCAGTGCCTCAGGATAGACCTCGTTTTGTGCCAGTCACTTTGGTGCGATTTTAAGACGCTTTCTGGGGATCCTTTAACGATTCTTCAATATGTAGCAAATATCAAACTAAACGACTGTCTTAACAACGCAGCTCCAACAGCCTGCTCCCTACACACTGCCACAGCTCTGAAACAGTTAGGTAGAGTGTGATATAGGTTGAGACTTGGACTCTGAGTTTCATTTGTGGCGTGCATTAAATACACCCTGGCTGGGGACAGTTTTGAGTGTGACACGTTCGTCTTTAGGACCTCATTCCCCTTATACCTCCTTCCTTCTCTCAAGGTGAGACACCCCTGAAGCTCATGGCCCATCTCGGGCTTGCTGGTGATGTCACGTTACATACAACAAGCACATTGTTCTTCCATGGTGCGCTGTGGTCTCCAAGGAGGGCTCTCACCCGGGGCCGGCTTCTGCACTGAGTAAGCAGCCCAGGTATTTGCACACTAAAGTGGCAGAGCCACCCGCCTGTTCAGCACCCTAGTCTCAGCTCCAGAATCTTCCCCTTCTGTCTGCAAGCCACAGGCCATAGCATCAGAGCATCATTAAGGTCTGGTTCGTCTTGAAATCGCTGTAGTCACTCTTCATTCGCTGCTTCCTGCTAGATGGTGGTGTCTGATACAGAATTAAATCCACCGTCTCAGCTGTTACTCTTATTATGGCTGGTCTTTTATTCGTCAATTTAAAACAAGTACGTTTCCAAGTTTTGTCTTACAAACAACCTGGTCGAAAAAATCAAATTATGGTTAAATTTAGGAAATAATAAAAACAGTTTGGACAAACAGTAATGTTATTGTATAGGTATAAGTATTGGTCGTTATGCAGACATTTTCAACACATATTTCAATGCTTTCTAAATTTGAAATGTAAGGGGTTGATTTCACTGAGAAATGTAATACCTAATTCAGTTACCAACATTCTAAAGTAAAAGAGTATACTTTCAGGGATCATTTCTATAGTTTGTTACTAAAATAAACACTTGGTATGATTCCTGAACATGGGTTTTTAAAAATTAAAAAAACCTAGCTTTTTATTTGCAATGTTTTTCAGATATTTATTCTTTGAGAATAAAATTTGAGTTTTTGAGAGTCAATGTTGGATTATTAAAAAAGGGAGAATAAACATCAAGTAACCCTAAACTTGTTATATAGAACTATTTCTTGTTTTATATTTCCAGAAATCTTTGTGTTGACACAAGATGTGTGTGTGGTTTTTTTTTAAGATTTTATTTATTTATCTTTAGAGGGGAAGGGAAGGGAAGGGAAGGAAAGAGGGAGAGAAACATGTATGGTTGCCTCTTGTGCATCTCTTGCTGAGAGCTGGCCTGCAACCCAGGTATGTGCCCTGAATGGGAATCGAACCACGATCCTTTGGTTCGCAGGCCTGCACTCAATCCACTGAGCTACGCCAGGCGGTGCACAAGTTGTTCTGATTAGTGTCTCTACTTGATTAGTCCCTCTGTGGAGAGTTTTGCTCCTGGACACAGTTTATGGGGTCAGAGAGCTTAAATTCGGGATGAAGCCTAAGAGCATCGTCCAGCCCATTGTCTTCAGGCATGTGAGGTGTCAGCCACATTTGTCAGTGGTATTTAACCATTCTTCATTCATGACCATGTAAATAAAGCAGATGAGAGATTTTAATTTAGGTCGGTCAGGTAGGAAAATTGTTACAGGGTAACCAATAAGCCTATATCGGAGAAAGAAGAGTGATTAAGAAGTACCTGCAAGGAAAGAGATGAGAAAGCACTGTTCTTGAACAGCTGGCTCAGGTTTTCTTGTGATACAGAATCTTCTGCCTTGTGCCCCTACCTCATTTTAAAAAAACCTGCTTTTGAATATTTCTATTTGGGGCTTTATATTAGTCTCCTTTTTTTGTATGGGCATATATTTTTATTTAGTTTCTATATTAAATAGCCCACAAGCTATGTATATCAAATTTAGTCTGTGTCTAAAAATGGTGCCACCTTCCATTCTGCAATAGAAATATGAAGGTATTTTAGCTACAACTTATGTCCCCCCATCAATCACCTGTCTCCCGGTATTCTTTTCTCTCCCATTATTCTGTATTTATTTTGCCCGAAATGTGTACCTGGCTGAATAGGACCACCTTCCCAGACAGAAATCTGCAACCCAAAGCACTCTTTATATAAAAATAAATGCTCAGCAAAATGTGAAGGCCATTAAAAAAGAGTGAGGAACACATGAACACAAATAAGTGTTAATAAAGAAAATTGGGTGAACATGGAAACTTTGGAATCATCACACATGTTTGTCAGGTACCCAAGGGACAGTTAGTTGCAGCACCAAAGAAGTCTGCAAATGAACAGAATAGGTCACTTTCCTGATGTTCAACAATTATTTTCTATGCACCCAATTAAGCAGCTTTAGAAAGTGCCCTGAAATCCCGCAGCTGCTGTATCTGTCCGCTGCTGTAGTGGAAACAGGCACACGACAAACGATCCGGATCCCTTGGCGTGGCGTTGCGGAGGAGTAAGGCTGCCCGAAGACCGTGGCCTTGAAAGTCTCGGAGCTCAGCTAGGGTAGTGAAAGAAGTGTGGGCGTTGTAGGTTTCAGAGCCCAGAAACCAGTAGCTACATTCCGAGAACAGCAGGAGCAAAAGGCTCTGTGGTGGAGAAAGATAAGGAAGCTGGGGGAGTAGGGTCTGCCCAGGAAGTGTTCTTAAACTAGCGAGATTTGTCTGTATCTTGAAATCTTCAGGAAATCTTTGAGGGATTTTAATCAGAGGAGAGCTGGCCAGTCTACATTCCAGAAACAACTCCACAGCTAAGTGGTGAGTGCCAGGGCTCAGACTGGTGGGCACCTAAGTTACCAGGCTTTGGGAGCGACCAAGTGGGACTCAAGGAGCAGTGTAGACGAGGCAGGTAGAATGGAAGGGCGGTAGTCAACCAGCGTCCACAGAATTGTCCACGGACTCTTCCGTCAAGCGCCGCACATCATCTGTCTTCCCCAGACAGCCACCATTTGAATGGTGTCCTGAGGATTTGTACTTGATAATGTGAGAACCTATTTTGGGGATCAAACCTACTTAAGAAATTATACTTTAGTTTGAATAATTTAAGTTTCGTAGTCAGATGCATTTCTTTTGAAGACTCCCTGGGAGGACAACCTTAAGCTCAGTTAAGACAGTCGCTTGTTCACCCAATCGACTCAGCAGTTACTGGAGGAGGGAGCTTAGAGGAGACTATTCTGAGCTCTGCGCCTCCTGCCGGCTTCTGACACACAAACTGGCACAGCAGGAAACCCCTCGCATCAGCTAGGGCTGGTTTCTCATTTACACTCGGAGGTGCGGGGCAGAAATCATCTCTGATGATCATCTCTGATTCCGCACAGTCCTACTGGCCCCACGCGGCTGCCATTTGAAGCTGGCCAGCCACAGGCTGCTCATTCGCTTTCAAATATTCCGTCTCTCTTCTGTCCACTTGACTTCAAAATGAAGTGGAGAAATTTGAGATTAGTTGAGGGGGAAAGTGTTGCTGGTTTGGAAGGAATAGCACTTGTAGGACTGTGCGGTAGTCACGCTCAGCTCCAGATCCCTGTCTGGGCGGCAGATGGTTCGCCCCAGGCCGAGCACACCGGCTGCACAGTGCATTTCAGGAGGTCGGCTCCAGGGTCGAGAGGGTTGGTTAGTGAGAATCCATCTCACATGCCCTCTGCATGGTTGGACACACACACACACACACACACACACACACACACACACACACACACACACTGCTCCAGCCTGGAAAGGAGTGTTCTTGGGCAGACTCCTGGAGGACTCTGAGGTTCACCCTGCAGGCAGTGATCAAACAGAAGGAAGCTTTCCTCTCGGAGTCCCGCTGCATTGGAGCTCGTTTGGGCCTCCACGGAGTTCTCTGCAAGCCCATCTGTGCCACCAGTTGGGGGGCTGCTGACTTGATGACAAGCTCCTGGGTAACGAATACCATATATTAGATTGAGATGCCCCAAGGCCTGGTTCGTGGCTGCACGCTGTCAATCAAACACCATCTACAATAGCTGGCTCTGTGGTAGTGGGTATTGAACCACAGCTTGGTCCCTGAGACCCCAGGCTTTAGGAATATGACCCCAACTGAGATTCTTTGGATGGAAGGGAATTTCTAACTTTAAATTCTTCTGTCATAGTTTGTACAGCCATATAAAGACTTTAAAAGCCCCTAGGATAGGCCTGAGCAATGTGGTAGCTGTGAAAATATGCCAGCCTGTGTCCTGACATTTTCTCCCCATCTTTTGTTCTCCTGTATTCCTGACTCTTGTACACTCCGACCAAGCTGACAGTGTTTTTCCTTCTTTCTTTTCCACTGATCTTGCAGTCAGATGACCTGATTTCTAGCTCCACTTCAACCTTTAAAAACTCCGATCTTGGACAAATTACTTAAACTTGCTGAGGCTTGGTTTCCTTGTTTGTGGGCACTGAGGATAATACCTGCCTTGCCTACTTTGCAATATGACTATCAATAAACTCGAGGGGAGTGATAGACCTAAAAATCTGTTAAAATCATAGTTTTATACCCACCTAAGGTGGTCAAAGTATTTTATTACCTAAGCTGGGTTATATTAATGGTAGCTATAATAAATTGCTTTTGCATATAAAATGATAATTTGATCTTTCTGATTTTTAAAGAAGTTTTATTTATTTTTAGAGATGGGGAGAGAGATAGAATGAGAGGGAGAGAGACATCAATGTGTGGTTGCCTCTCACACACCCCCTGCTGGGGACCTGGCCCACAACCCAGGCATGTGCCCTGACTGGGAATTGAACTGGTGACTCTTTGGTTCACAGCCCACGCTCATTCCACTGAGTTGCACCAGCCAGGGCTGATCTTTCTGTTATGCAAGGAAAATAACGCTACGTAGGGGCCATGCTAATCTCCGTATTTGTTCACTTTTACAATATATGCTGCCAAAGCGAGCACAAAATAATGATAGTCAACATTTATTGTTTACTATGGAGAAATGGAGGCTTAGGAAGACATAATAACTTGTCCAAATTTATGCTCTGTAAAACAACAAAGCCAGGACTGAAACCCAAAGAACTAGCCTCACATTTATGCAGTTAATAGCTGCTGGGGCCTACTGAATAGGAGAGGTGCTTTTTAGTTTTTACAGATTTTTATTACTTTTTTCCCCTGGTATACCAGCTGACAGAACTATTCTATGCTATCTTTCATCAAAGTCTTTTATTTATTTATTTTTTCCTAATTTTTACAGGAGTAAGGGGATAGTCCTTAGTCCTGGTAGCTTGTACTCCATTCTCTGCTTCTTTGAGAGCTAGATAGAAGGGAAGGACTACACGTAGATGACTCCTGGAATTCAGTCTTCCAGTGGCAGAGAAAATTGAGGGGAAATAGCATTTTAGACTCCAGACCTGCTTGTGTGTCCGCCACTCTGCTCCAGTGGGCTGTATGACCTTGACCAAGTTGCTTCGCCTTTCTGGGCTTGGTTTCCCTACCCATGAGTGAGGACTCCATGATCTCGAAGGCTCCTTTTAGTTTTAAAGTTGTGAATTTCTACACGAAAACCCTGGAAGATGACATGTATTAAATCTGCACTATGGCTAAAAGATTTTTCATTTACTGCAGAGTTTTTCGATGCCTTCTGCTCTGAAGCATCTCCAGCTGCTCCGATGGTAGCCTAAGAAGACTGCATGCTGCTCCCTCTCAATGCCAGGCCAGGCCCACTCGGTCCCTCGGAGCTCAGTCCTTCATGGAGACCAGGTCTCAGCAGGAATGGCAGTGGAGGCAATTGGCATCCAGATGGCTCCTCCCCGTGACATTGTCTCAGGCTATGGGCCGCCTGGACAACACCTGGTAACTGGGCTCGCTCTCTCTCAGTCACCCAGGGGAGGGTAGCATGGTGCGGATTCAGAGGAGGAAGCTTTTGGCACCTTGCCTGTGCATCACGGCTACCATCTTCCTGCTCGTCACACTCCAGGTACCGAGCATTTGGGTAGTGCATGTTGATTCCCGGGCTTTTGCAGTATTCCTGCACCACCCTGTTCTCTTCAAGTACTTTCCTTTTTGCTTTATCTCTCAGGCTCGGGATTCCCTGTCTAAGGCACTGGAAATTTTTTTATAACACACTGAAAACGAGGTTTAGGGAGTGGATATGTCAAGTAGAAACAAAATCAGTGACTAGGGGGCCAGTTTGTGATTCTTCGTAGGGTCTTGGTTTTAGAGGAAAGTCGAGCTCAGTCTGTCCTGCAGGGGCAGCGTCAGGTGGCTTGCTCCAAGACCCTGTTGTGATCATTTCTGAAAGATGTCGTTCTGGAGGACGCAATGCCTGTTTTGAGAACAAGGTAGTCTGTCCTGCGGAACACAAACATCTGCATCAATAAACTTGTCATTGTCGACATGTGCTACTAGACCAGCGATTTTCAACCTTATTCATCTCATGGCACACATAAACTAATTACTAAAGTTACGTGGCACACCAAAAAAAAATGTATATATTTTGCTGATCAGACAAAAAGTAGGTATAATTTTGATTGATTTACAAAAATATAATAATAGTAGTTACCTACTCTTTTTGCTTCAAAGTGTCTTTTGAAAAAATCAGGTGCCTGTACTTGTATATAAGGATTTCTGGTACCAAGTATTAACCAATCAGATGCAGCCTTATTATATGGCCTGTATATTTATGGTTCAAGAGGGGGCATTCACATCTATGGCTATTGTTGTGTGGGTTGTTGTCTTTTTCTTTTAAGTTTTTATTTATTTACTTTTAGAGAGAGGGGAAAAATGGGAGAGAGAAGAAGAGAAACAATGAGAGGTACATTGATTGTTTGCCTCTCGAACCAACCAGGGACCCGGCTGTAACCCAGGCGTGTGTCCTGACAGCAGCTCTTTGGTTCACGGGCCAGCACTCAATCTGTGGAGCCGCACCAGCCAGGGCTGTCGGGTTTTTTTATTTGACCATCTAGGGGAAAAGATTTAGTGCCCCTGACAAAACAGCCAGGTATTGCACGTTTTAAAAATTCTTGCAGCACACCAGTTGAAAATTGCTGTATTAGACCAAGAACTGTATCAAGGAGGAAGACCTAAAACATTTCATTAGTCCTCCCATTTATTTCTTTTAGTCAGATACTTTCATCTTCATTTGCTGATTTCAATTCAAAGTAAAAATTGTACAGTGTTATTCAAAGTATAGTTATGGATTCATACATATTTAGCACCCATTCATGTCCATTTCATGATCTAATGGACTTTTAAAGATTATGTGTGGGTGTGAGTAGTTCAGGTGGGGCTGATGGAAACGAAGTTGCTCTCTGGGCTTTTTCACTGGGCTTTTTAGAGGGCCTGCCTCCCCTCCTGATTAGGACTGAGTGAGACAATGCTCAGAAGACAGTCTGACTCTTTTCTTCCGCCACCTGCTGCTGCTGGGTCAGGGTTCAGGTCAGAGGAAACACTGGACTCGCTTCTTGTCTGTCTTGGGGGACTAGGTAGGACCTGCTTGAGCAGGAGAGGCTGGAGTTTTTTGCTTTTTTCTATGGGAAGTTACGGGAGAGCTTCGATCTTACCAAATACTAACTTTAGTATTTTTCCCAGTTGTAAGGAATGCCTGGGTCTAAGCTGAGAGCTTTCCTTTTGATGTTAGAATAAATTGCCATGTATTTGGTATGCATATCATTTCTAAGCTTCTGGAATATGAGAACAGGTATGGTTACTAGATATAACCCTTTATCTGGATCTTGGTTTCAGTTTGGCACCAATAGGATGGTTTGGGCTATTTCCCGGTTTGCACTGATGCGTTGGCTGCTTCAGTGTTCAGAGATTCAGGAATGTTATTTTGTTAAACACTGAAAACGAAAATATATGATCGTGGGAGTTCTTTATGTGTTTTGGAGATTAAACTCTTGTCTGAGGCATCGTTGGCAAATATGTTTTCCCCTACAGTGCATTCTCTTTTCATTTTAATATTGTTTTCTTTAGCTGTGCAGAAGCTTTTTATTTTGATGAGATCCCATTTATTATTTATTTTTTTCTTTAGTTTATTCTTTCCTTTATGTCCCTTGCTCTAGGGGACACATCAGCAAAAATACTGCTGTGTGAAATATCTGAGATTTTCCTGTTTGTGTTTTCCTCTCAGACGTTTATGGTGTCACAATTTATATTTAAATCTTTTATCCACCTTGAATTAATTTTTGTGTATGGTGTAAGTTGGTGAATGAGATCCGAGGGGAAAGGGGAGGGAATTTCAGGAGGAAAGAGTGGAGGGTTTGCAGAAAAAATGATAGAGGACACTTAGACACTAACAGGGGGTGTTGGAAACAGGAGGGAGGTGGGGAAGGCTGAGGTGTTGGGCTGGAGTGAAAAGGCGGAAAACTGTACTTGAACAACAATTTAAAAAAAAGAAAATATGGCACAGTGAATGAATACCCGTGTATTTTATAGTTCCCTTGGCTTTGATTCTGTGCTAGAGAAACATCTGTCCTTTTCTGCTGAATTGAAAGGACTATTTATCCTTTTAAATGCATTCAGAAAGCCAGCACATTATTTAAAAAAAGAAAATATATAATTGAGGTCTGCCTGGAAGAAGTTCAGCCATTGTTAATGTAAGGAAAACTGTTTGTGTGACATCGATGTGACCTGGCAGCCAAGGAGAGTGGACTGGAATGCACATGTGTGAACAGTGATGACTTCACTATATAGTCAGTGGGGGCGGTAGACGCCATTGAGTGAGCATGTGCATTGTGTGGCTGTCACATTCAAAATGACTGAGAGAGTAGACTGACCTCCAGAACCATACGATAATTCATGTGTATTGTTTTAATTGCTAAGTCTGTGGTAATATGTTACAGCAGCAACAGAAACCTAGTAAGAGACCTGAAACTCATCAAGATATGCGAGGTATGTGAAAGGAAATTAAACGGTCTAACTCTGGCAATAATTGCCTTTTCTTTCAGGTAGTGGTTGAGCTGGGAAAATTTGAAAGGAAGAAGCTTAAAAATTCCAATTTGCGAGATGGGCACGCAAGAATGGGGGAGGAGCCTACACACCTCTACTCATTCCCTAAGAAAGAGGCTCTGACCCTGCACAGGAAGAAAACCTTGGAAACCGATAGCTACCCCATCATGCTCTGGTGGTCCCCGCTGACTGGGGAGGCTGGAAGGCTGGGCCAGTGTGGGGCAGATGTGTGTTTCTTCACCATCAACCGCACCTACCTGCACCATCCCATGACCAAAGCATTCCTCTTCTACGGTAGGTAGTGCTTTTGCCTTTCTCCCTTTGTTTGCTCTCCTTCTCTAGAGCCGAATTACTGCTCGCTTACCAAGGAAGAGATGGTGGACTCCCCTCGAAAACACTTCAGCATACCCGATTTCCTCGGCATTCACTCAGTGGAAGGCCTGAGCATTTAGGAAATATGAAAAATAAATAACCTTTACCAACGTAGAGGTGGTTGGCTGGGCCACTGGTATTTATCGAGGAGAAGAGATGTTTCTTCTCACCCTTTCACAGTTGGGTTCTGTGCTCACTAAATTTAATATTCAGGGGATTAGGTTGGTGACATTGCTGATACTAATTCAGAATGTCACGTGATGATTGCCAGAAGATTTTGATTACCATAACAGATGGTTAATTGGACATAAACTAAACACAATTTTTAAATGTCATTAGTCAGATTAATCAGAAATAAAAACAAAAAGATTGTCCAGCGTCAGCTTTCAGCAGTAACTTGGTATCCATCCCTTCTTGAGGCTGATTGTGTGTCGTGCTGGGGTCCGAGGGCACCCAAGCCCAGCGCGGTGGAGTTAGTAAAATTCCAGCAGCTGTTAAAAATACAGAGCTCTACCCTGGCTGGTGTGGCTCAGTGGATTGAGCGTCAGCCTGCGAACCAAAGGGTCTCTGGTTAGGTTCCCAGTCAGGGCACATGGCTGGGTTTCGAGCCAGGTCCCCAGTAGGGGGTGCTTGAGAGTCAACCACACATTGGTGCTTCTCTCCCTCTTTCTTCCTCTCTTCCCCTCTCTCTAAACAGAAATAAGTAAGATCTTTTAAAAATTAAAAACACAGGGCTCCTTGGTGATGCGTGGTAGGCAGAAGGGGGATGACTACACATTAGCAAACTTGAGCAGGTATAAGCAAGTTAGTCAGTTTTGTCGGGAAATCATTGAAAGGAAATATTCTCTATACTGATGTGTGTGTGTGTGTGTGTGTGTGTGTAGTGTTGGCCTTGGAGAGGCAGGACTGAGACTGGGATGTAGAGCTGAGTCATTCTTGGTGTTCTTCTTAACAACCACTTGAATAAAGTAGAAAATGGGTTCAATAGGAGCCAGAAATAAGGTGGGATATATGAGTATGCCCTGCAGTTGGTCAGGGTTACAGAGCAAGGGGCAGCGGTGCCCTGGGGTATAGGTGAGGAGCCAGGGAAATTCCAGGTGCAGGTCCTCCCTGAAGGTCAGCTAATGTCGCATCCACTTCCTTCCCACCTCTACCCTTAAAAGGGAATCAGCATAGTTTGGAGGAGTTGAGGGCTATTTACAAAGGGCCAGGCTGGTGGCTAATTTATCCCGAGGGTAGAACAGCTACCTGAGTCGTGTCAGATGCTTATTTTGAACATCATTTGATTACAGGTTCCATGGAAGGTGTGTAATGTCATATATGGAATTGTATCATGGTACCTTTCTGAAACCTAAAGAATTAGGAATTCTGGAACATAAAGCTCTGAGAATTTGCATAAGGGATTATGGTTCTCTGGCTGTGTTTTGAGATGAAGCCAGATTAAATGTTTCTCCAGAAGCCCCCAGAAATATTTCAGTTACACACAAAAAAGTGTAGATAATATGATGGGTACTTATGTAACCTATGACATAGCTTAAGAAATAAAGTAGTACAAGTAAAACTGAAACGCTCCGTGAGGCCCTCCCTGACTGCATCTCACTTCCTGCCCCACTATCCCAGAGGGAATCATGATCCTGATGTTGGTGTGTGTGTGCGTGTGCATGAAGACATACCCAATCAAATGAACTATATATAATTTTTCTAAAAATTTTGTAAGTATTGGGGTGGTCAAAATGTTTGTTTAGTTTTTTTCTGTAAAATAAAAGATACATTTTTCATTTTCACCAATAACTTTATTGACTTGGACATTTTGAGTATGCTGACTCTCTCCCTCATGGTATAACGTTGATTGTTCTCAGTTAATGTCTCAATTTGATCGCTATCAACTTCAACTGGTCTGCCGACCATACCAGCGAAAAATCTCCAGCATGGAACTTTGTAAACCATTTTTTGACACCTTCGATCAGAAATAGCACCTTCTCCATACACTGCAGAAATCTTTTTTCAATGTGTTCCAGTTGTGCCTTTACCTTTCTTGAAATAATAAAGTCTAATATGCTAAAAATATTGTATATTTTCTTCCATCTTTAATATTAAAATAGCTATACAAAAATTCACCAATTTTGATAAGTTTTAAAAAAATGCACACTGATATGACAGCTGTCACAATACAATCTAACAAAATTATTTTGCATGAAGTGCAAGACAACTAAGCCCTACTTGAGTCGTCTTAGGAAAAAAAACAGATGAACTTCTTGGCCAACCCAACAGTGTAATATGTTGACTTTCCGTCACTCGTTTTTTCTCTTACATGGTTTTTGAGATTTATTAGTGTTGTTTGCTTATGACTCTGGTGCATCCATTTCACTGTTGTATAGTATCCATTGTATTCATATATCACATCCTATTAAATCACTTTCTCGTTGGACACAGGTTGTTTTACAAGCCTTGAGTATGGCAAACCGTGGTGCAACAAACCACCCATGTACATGTGTGCATGTTGTGAGTTCTATACCCAGTAGTGGAATTTGTGTTTATTAGCTATTGCCAAACAAATATCCAAAGTGGTTATATCACTGTCACTATCTTTTAAACATTTAAAACTTTTAAACATGCACATAAAGTTTCTATATTAACAAATAATGTGCTTAGGTTGTTACTTCTTGATTTTTCAGTTTTAGACATTAAATATTGGTTCTTACTTTCTAGATGGGTATTTACGTTTCCTTCCTCACCCCAGTCCCCAAGTCATGCTCAGTTCTCATCTCCATGTCCTTTCCAAAACGTCACGCATTTTAGATGGATTAATATTCACGTTTTCATCGTGATGTAGTCACAGCAAACCAGAGGACCCGTAGTGTCCTCAGGTGAACTCTCCTGCGCAAGTCGTTCGCCCTGGAGTAGCACAAGATGTTCTTAGAGAAATGCCTCCTCAAGACCCCTGGTTGGTCTAGTCTAGAGCGTTTGCCCTTTTTGCCTGGTGCACAGCTGCTGCCGGCTTCCCATCACTCTGGGTTTCCCTGCGCCTCCCTCTTGTGTGCGATTGTCGGTTACTTTGATGCCTTGTCTTCCTTTTTCTCGGTTTATGTCTTTATTTCTGTGTATTGCGAGAAAGGTTCAGGGAAGGCAAGTTTCTGGAGACTTTGTGACAGTGTGTTCATTTTACTATTAGTATCATTGATGGTGTGGCTCAGTGTAGAATTCTAGGTTGGTAATTCTTTTCTAACTTTTAAAGATATTTTTCCCACTGTCTTCTAGCGTCCAGTGTGAGTGCTGAGGAACCCAAAGCTGTTTTTATTTCCCATCCCTTGTGCAGTGTGCCTTTTTGTTCTCCTCTCCTTCTCTGGAAAAATACAGAATTTGCTCTTTTTCACCAGTGTGGAGATTTAGTAATAATTGCTTTGGTGTGTGTCCATTTCCCTTTATTAAGGTAAGTACTTGAATATCTGGTTGCCAGGAAGTCTACAAAGCAGTATTTAGCTTAGTGGATTTTCCAGGACTCACAGATCTACAGGTTCACACACTTAATTTTATTAGCACAGTAAGATTCAGTTCTCCCAGGGAGGGACTAGCCTCCAACCAAATCCTCAGAAGACTAATGTGCTAACCAGATTGCTTCTGGTTCTACTTTCATAGCTCGGATTGCGTTACTCTCTGCTCCTTCCCCACCAATGACTCTCACCGGGGACTGAACATGTGCCATTTTTATTGCGCTGGCGGTCAAGGCCATGTGCAGTCTGACTCAGCCACCTCCTCAACGGAGTCCCGTTAATTCTGGCAACTAAAACCTATGTTCGAAAGTCTACGTGGAATAGTCACCAATTTCGGCATAAGCCACAAGTGCTGCTGCCTTAGCACCACCGCCTTTTCCATTTCTGTGCCCTCCAGTGTCCTTTTTAGATTCGTCCTGTCAAAGTAATCTATTAATACCTACTGTACATTCGCCAGTGTGGATGAATAATACAGTGTCTGATGCCACAGGTGAGTATCTTGAGACGAAGATATTATCCAACTGTAATGCAGGGCTAAGTGGCATGAATGCCATGAGAGAAGTGTGAGCAAATCTCGTGGGATTTCAAAGGAGGGAGAGAGCCCATATGATTGGAGGGATCTGGAAAGGCTTCCTAGACCTCCTTCTGGGAAAGGGAGAAATTTGCCGTGAACCTTGAGGGATAATGGAATTGGATCGTGCTGGGACTGGAGGAGATTTTCGTGTGAAGAACTGCATGAGTGGGCCTTGGAGGTAGAAATGTATGGGTGTTGCCTGAGGTGCAGTAAGGCTATAGCGCAGTTGGGTGTCAGAGACAAAGACTGAAGGATGTGTGGGGACCACAGCGTGGAGAATGTCAAACGTGGGCTTAAGATTTTGTATCAGATTAGGGGATGGTATCAGGGAGCTGCTGAAAGTTGAATGGACGTTGAAAAGCCTAGCCATAAACAAGAAGAAACTTTTACCCTTGGCGACAGCTTAGATGTGGACCTGGAGAGCATTATACTGAGTGAAATGAGCCAGTCGGAGAAAGACAAATACCGTATGATTTCACTCGTGTGTGGAATCTAATGAACGAAGTGAACTAACAAGCAAAACAGAGACGGACTCCTAGATGGAGAGCAGATGACCGCTCTGCAGTGCGGGGAGGAGTTGGGGGTGGAGGGTCGAACGGAAAGGACAAAGAACCCACCGTCACAGACAGCAGTGCAGTGGAGGTGGGCGGAGGTGGAAGAGGGTGCAGGGCAGGGGTGTCGAGCACGTCAGCCTCGCAGTAGCCTTCAAGGGGCCTGATGTAACTTTAGGCCTGTAGAAACGTAACTCCTCCTTAACTGTTAAGCGAGAGCTCGGCGCTGCCACCGGGCAGAAACAGGCGCCGAGCTGGGTAACACAGGGTGGAGGCCGGATTTGGCCCGCAGGCCTCGTGTTTGGC